AAAAATAAGATTGGTGAAAGGTAGTTCCTCCTCTCAACAGAATCATGATCCGGTAACAGCTTTATCTCTACTCTCTAATGATTTGCTTGACTCTTATTCAAAGAACTTTAGTAAAAGAAAAGTAGTCAAGCAATTCGTAGTATACAAGCAAACCCTAGGTAGGTTGAATCTACCACATGTTGTTGAGCTATTAAGATTTCAGAAACTATGGGTCTTTCTAGAGTGCGATACTGCTTATAATGAATAGTTGATCAAGATGTTCTATAATAGTCTTCAAGGTAATTTTGAAGGAAGCACTTTTAAATACAAGATTAACAATAAAGTTTACACTGTTAACTCTGAAATTTGGACGGAATTTGAATTGTTTCCTCCAAGTCCGGTTGCAATAAAAATTATTGATACCAATAAATTTGAAGGATATGACATCAAGCATGCTCTAAACTCTATGCTGAAATAGCCATACTCTAAAAATGTTGTAAATAGCACCTTATTTCCAAAGTCGGTCGCAGTTGGTGCGTTGAAGCCACTTGACCGTATTCTGCAATGGATTGTTTCTCGCATCATTCGCCCTAAGAGGGTGGATATTCAAGAGTTGATCAACCGAAGGTACACTTGATCTATGTTATCAAGAACAAAATGAGGATAAATTGGCCTCACTACATTGCAAGTAGAATGTATAGTCTGAAGGATTCAGGTAGAGGAACATCATTGGGATACACTTCCTTTATTCAACATGTCCTCAACAAGGCCGCTATTGGTGTTCTGGGTATTCCATTTATTAGAATATCAACCGATCAAGAGTTCACTCAGAAAACTTTGACTATGATGGGTCACCATTGGGATGCGAGTCAACAAAGATATAAGTATGTGATAAGAAGTAATAATGTGAGCTTGTGGTAAGAAGATGATAGTGAGGAGGAACGGGATGAAGACAATGAGGAAAGTAAAAATGTTGCTGCCATGAATAAAGATGAAGTGACAGGTGGAAACAATGCTAACATTCTGAACCTGTTTGAGTCTATGCGCCTTCAATAATAGGAGAACTCCTCACTTGTGAATGAGAGACTTGCCACTCTATCAAACCGTGTCAGAGTACATAGTGAATAATTTGCCGCATATTCTACCATTCAAGATCAAAGATATAATACTTTGTATGGAATGATGGAGTCTCAAGCAAACAACTTCACCAACTTCACCAATAATTTCATGCAACACTTCCCTTTTAACCAACCATAAAATCCTCCACCACAACAAGGAAATGAGAGTGATGAAAAATTATATTTTTTGTACTTTGCAAATTTCATGAATTTTAGCTAGTATTCGTTGTTTAATTATTTTTTATTATGACTTACTTTGTGTTTGTCTTTCTTTAAACACCGGATTGTAACCATGCTATATGATTGGTGTCTATTTATTTTCTATGCCCTTCTCTAACATCTCTTTATGTGATTGTTTGTTAGAGTCGTTGATTGCCAAAGTAGATAATGATCTAACCTTGCTTATATTGATTATTGTTACTTTAACATGTTGCTTTGACTCTTTTTGATGTTGTCAAAGAGGGAGAAGCACGTGGAAGTCAAGAACAAATGATATGAAATGAAAGGGTACACATAGATAGGGGGAGAAATCTCCAAGATGAACATTCCAGATACATGGTGCTAAGGACAAGTTTTGCCATCATAAAAAAGGGGGAGTATGTGAGGGCAAGATTTCAATGATGTTAAAACTATGTTGGAAATTTTGCTAGATGATATGGTAGACAAAGTAGCATGAAAAGTCTTCAAGAATAGGTATTTTTGAAAATTTATATTCTATGAGTCGACTCAAAGAAAGCTCAGGCTGACACATGATTAAAAGTTGCTCCTTTGGGAAGTCTCAGGTTTGCTCACATCGACTATATGGTCGACTCATCCTGGAAGCAATGTTTAGGAACTATGCATCGATGCATACCCCTGGAGCGGTCGACGCATGGATCTTGCACTCTGTAATGTGGCATCTTCGGGAATGCTCAGGTCGAGTCATCCTTTTGCATAGGTCGACGCATGGATCGTGAACACTGTCATATGGAACCTTCGGGAATGCTCAGGTCGAGTAACCTCTTTTGCATAGGTCGACGCATGGCTTGTGTACACTGTCATATGGCACTTACGGGAATGCTCAGGTCGAGTCCCCTTTTGCATAGGTCGACCGCTCGCTCGTAAAACTGTTTTTCAGTCTGTTAGTTTGGGTCTTGACCTTAGATAACACACACACACACACACACACACATATATATATATATATATATATATATATATATATATATATATATATATATATATATATATATATATATATATATACTTGTTTGGTTATTTCATTTGGTTTCAACAAGAAAAGTGAAATAGATACACAAGGTACTCATCACCTTCAACCTCTCACTCATCCATTGACAACTGCACATAATAATTTTTGTCGATCAAGGTGCGGAGTGTGTGTTGACAACGTACGAAGTAGAAGATTGGGATCTTGTTCGGGTTGAGTAATTATGGGTTTTTCTTGAATAAAATATGAGGGTTTTGTCCTCCAAGATCATTGGAATTTGGGGTTTTTTGACAATTATTTGTTTCATTAAATTCAGTTGTGCTTAAGGGATTGAGGAATTGTGGGTTTGCTCAACAAGGTAGCTATAATCAGAGGATTTTGAAGGAAGAATTAGGGTCATCATCTTGTGATCAAATCGGCCGAGCAGAGGGTTTGAGAAATGGTTTTGGTTCTCAACAAGGTAGCTACAACTGAAGGTTTATCGAAGATTGATGACATACTTGATTCAAATCGAATCAAGGGAAGAGAGGAGCTTAGTTTTCAATTCAACATATTGGGTTTGAATTATAGTGACTATTTTCTATCTCTTGTATAAACTTTGCAATCATAATAACAACTATCCTAATTCTAAATTCTAGAATTAGGGGCATACCTACCCCACGCGAGGACGAGAGAGGGAACTGCCTTAACAAATCGCGTGTTGTTTTTCTTTCTCGCTCTTTACCATTTATTTGCAATAATCCGAGAATTTGCTCTTGTGGTTCCAATTGTCCTGATTTGTAGTGCAATAAAATTGTTACTAAAAACTATAGTAATCATTTTGATTGCTATAATTGATTTCAACACTAAAAATTAAGGTAGATTGAACTTGGTGAAATTAAGCACACCAAGTGTTTGATAAAAGTCCAAAAGTGAAAATTTGTGTATTTTCTTCTCAACCTTTCATTGGAAGTAATTGACAATAGTTAAAGAGTATAAGTGATCAATTATAATTGAGTTAAGTGTTAATAATTCTCATTGATTCATTCTATTCGGTTTTCGCATATCCGGTCTTTTCAATAGAGGATTATTTTAGATGAGTGTATATGGGTAGCTTTCACTACGCTTCAAGTCTTTCTTAAAAACTGATTTTAAAAATCAAGGTATCTATTCAACCCCCCCTTCTAGATACGTCCTATCATCTAACACCTGGGACCTTAGTGAGTATGTTGCAACTCTCACTTTGCCTTGAGAGTGTCTGGATTAGTATATCCAAGTCAAGTTGCAAAGATGTATTTTGAAAATGGTGAATGTTAATAATGGAGTTACAGTGGCAAAACTGAGGTTGAGATCACTTATACATGATGTGTATGAAGTGTTTGGATGATTTGTTTGGACAAAAGTTGCAAGGTTTGAGAGTTTCAAAGAAATAGATTTTGAAAATTCAAGAAATGAGTTTTATGGCCAATTCGGGTTTGAGAGTGTATGAAAGGTTTAGAGGGCTTGTGAATTCATTCCCTGACTTGCTAATGACCTCCCTATTTATAGAGAAAACCATGAAAGTCATTTGAGACCCTTGCAACCCAATCTTTTTTGAGAAGCACCAAACCCTAGTTAAAGACCCTTGCTTAGGAGGAGGTTTGATCAGTCAACTCTTGAGTGAATTTAAGTATTTGAGACTCTTGTGAGCATGTTTTGAAGAAAATGGGAGAGGAAATTTTAGGGTACAACACTCATCCTCATCATCTCTCTTTCACAAGCTTGTGAAGATGTACATTTAACAGCTTTCTATATTATTTCCTTCAGAGTCTTCCCAGGATATTTTTTCCTGAAGTTGTTGTATAAGTGCCTGACATAGAACCTTTGCTCAACATTAAGCAAAAGTTCATCCATGGCTGGTAGTAAACCTTACAATATATCCATCAGAAGAATCATTAAAATCTACCTTTAAAGCACTATCATAGTTGAACTCACTATCATCACTACTTAGGCCATCATCCACCTCACCACTTTCCATACCATCTTTCTCAACATTCATACCATCCTTCTCAGCCTCCAACACAACCTGTTCAGCCTCCAACACAACCTTCTCATCCTGTTCAGCCTCCATATATAATTTCTCAGCTTCCAACACAACCTTCTCAGTCTCCATATCAGCTTCATTGGACTTATCATTTTCATTGACACATTCTTCATGCAATTTAGAAAGCACTTCTTCAACTACATCATTGACATCATGCTCCTCATTGACATTGGCAATACTTTCCATATATCTAGGCTGCTCAATTGTGTGGTTAATATAAATGTCTACACCTAAGTGAACCCTATAAAGATCAACTATTTCTAAGGCTCCAACATCATCAACCAACTGTTGCATCCTAAATGTCAGGTCTTTGTAATAGATTGACTCAAAATCCCTATAACCTAAACACTTCAGTGATCCTGCAAGCTCAAATGAGCTCCATGTGTCAACATCTATTTTCATCTCAGCAACTTCCCCTCCTTCGGACACTCTAAGATCACCATAAAAAAATTCACCACTATGATGAATTGTTAATACAATATACTCCTCCATTTCACCTAGACATGCAAACAAACGATTTAGTAGAAAACCCTAAATTTTCATTTTGAAAACATGCAAACATCAGATTCATCAGAAAACCCTAATTCCTATCAGAACTTATACAAATCATCAAATATTTAACCTGTTTGCAACAATGGTTCGCCTTCAAATGATCTTCACTGAACGATGGTTCTTGCTTTGCAGAAACAATGATCCACCTTCAAGTTCTCTGTCTGAGCGAAGAAATTCAAGATATGAATGTTGTGTTTGTTCACAAAAGTTAAACATATACCATGTAATTGCCACGTAACATCAGTCATGCCACATATACAAACATTTTATACACTCATTAACAAATACAGATGGAAGGACAAACTCATTCGTTTTTAAGACTTAAGAAATTGTTTTATACTTTTTAAAAGATAAAAGACCAAAATAGACTCTAAAATAAAGTTAAAAGGACGAAAAAAGATATTCTTCTAATGTAATAGATATAAAGAAAGAAGCTCCCACTTTGATTTAGCGCTTTGTTCACAACAATGATAAAATCAAAATAATCACTAAGATATTATTTTTGAAAAACGATAAAATAAAAGTTAAAATAGTAAAATAATCACTAAGATATTATTTTTTTATTTAATTATTTAATTAGATTAAATTATTATTATTGATACATTTTTTGACCAAATATTATTTATATATTCTCAAAAAGCATTATTTTGACCAAATAATATCTATATATTCTTTAAAAAAAACCATAATTTTGACTAAAAAAAGACGTTTATAATAATATTACGCAACCTAGTTACTATAGTGGGTAAGGGACATGTATTTTGCCAAGGCTATTATAATTATAGCCCCCAAGCTCGACACATAGACACAAAAAAAAAACAATAAAGAAGAACAAAAAAACCTAAAAAAACTATTCATTTTCTTTATGAATTCTCCCTTCTTCAAAGATCGATCTTATCTTTGATTCTTGCTCAATTTTCTTCAATCCGGTACGTATCGATCAATTCCAATACTGAATTTTTCATTCACTTGTATTGGGGATCTTCTTGGATTATAATTTGTTGACGGTGAATTGTTTAGATCGATTTTCTGATCTGGATTGAGTTTCAGTTTTCTTATGGTGCTGAATTCGTTTGAGTGGTTTCGATTTTGGATTTTTTTTTCAACTGGTTTTGTTTTTGATATTGAGATTAAGATTAAGATTACTGGTGCATGTTTTTGGGCAGTGTTGTTGATTTTTTTTTTTTCTTGTGCTTAATCTTTCAGGAAGTTGGTCGTTGTTGATTGTGATACTGAGATTTAGCGGTAAGAAAGGTTTACTAGTTTGATTCATATACATATACAATGCATTATGTTATAATCAAGTGTTAGTTCTTGCTCATAGTTAATCTTTTTTTTCTTCTTTGCTCTCTTTTTGTTGATTGATATGCTATGAAATTTGTTGTGAACTTAGGTCACTGATTTTGATTTTTGATTTTGATTTTGATTTAGCTATTTTCTTCTTTAATATTACACTCCTTTATGATATCTATTGTTTTTTTTTTTATATTGTTAAGCAGGTATTAGTAAGGTGTAAGACGTAGCAATCTACAAAAAAAAAATGCTTTCTGGGGTGAAAATCATTCCCCGTGACCAGGTTTGTAGAGTAATAATACCTTATCATATTGTCACTTTTATTATTCACTCCTAATGTTAGGTCTGACTTTGATTTCTATCCACCAGTTACAAGATGAGGAGAGAAATAAATCAGATAGTAGGAGGAAAGAGGATGAGAGCCCTAGGAATAGCTCTTCCGATGAGGAAGAGATTGGTAAAATAAAAGGCTCTAGAAAGAAGAAGTGGTATTCATCCGATGAAGATTCTTCATTTTCTACAAGTGAAAGTGAGCGGGAGGATAAGAAAAGGAGAAGGAAAGGAAAGAACAAAAAGGACAAGAGCTCTAGGAATATGAATATCTTTTCTGATGAGGATGAGCTGGATGAGATAAAAAAGGGCTCTAGAAAGAAGAAGCGGTACTCATCTGATGAGAATTCTTCATTTTATACAAGCGAAAGTGAAAGTGACCGGGATGATAAGAAAAGAAGAAGGAAAGGAAAGAAGAAAAAGGGGAGGAGTAGAGAGAACAAGATCAAAGGAGAAGCTACCGACGTTGCAGGCAATTCTACAAGTAAGAAGGATATTGCTAGAAAAGAAATGGGGTTGGATTGGATGCTTAGGTCTGAAAGTAAGAGGCCTGCAGTTTCAGAAACAAATGAGATGTTACCGGAGGAAGCTCCAGTTGAGGAGGTACGTCTTAGTGTAAAATTATGTTTCCCCTTAGCTGTTCACTTGTCTAACTCATGTCTAGTCTATTTTGATATATGTTTGTGTCCTCAAACAAAGGAAGCCTCGTTGTTATCTGTATTTTCTTTCTCGATTTTTTAGTGAGTTCTCTATTTATATTATTAAAACACGCGTTGGTGTCATTTTCAAGCTATTTCTTAGGAGAAATGAAAAAAAAAGTAAAGAACGGAAAGATTAAAAAAATCAGGGAAAGTAAGCATTGACAAACTTTAATTTTTTACTTGTATGATCATCAGTCATCATTAAAACAACATATATAGTGCAATGCACACAAATACTATCTTAGAGCTAAAACGTGGAAAATATACCATAGCGTAAGTATTAGAGTTTAAGTAATGTGGATGTAGATACATCATACAAGTTGACCTTGAGATGAAAGATGTAAACCATAGGATCCAAGTAGTATGGATGAACTAAAGATTAAAGAAGTATTTTAGGTGTGATTTGTGATAAAAAATATCACTTAATAATAAAGGACAATTGTATTGTAATAGACTTGCAACACTATATAGAGCCGTTGTTATTAAGTATCGGCCATGGCGGATATCAATGGTGGGTTTTAGGCTATCCACCATGGCTGAAGTATGCGAAGGATGGCAGTGCCATAGCGCCATATGCGGGGCCAATATGGTGCTGCCATATGTCTAGTGTTATTGCAGGGTTCTGGCTCTGTGCCATGGACCACCATCTGCCATTGTCTACACTGAGCTTATTGTTGGGCGGTAATAAAGATTCATCAAGAAAGTAAGGTCATTGTTGCAATTGTTTGAATGTTCAAATGAATGATTAGTTATAAAAGACAATGTGGGGTTGAGAATAAAATCACTATAGATGAAGTTTGGGTAGCACTTCTTGTAGCAAAGTTTGTATTGTCCTGTCCCGCCTTAGATGGTTTGGACATGTGTGCAGAAAGAAACAGAGAAGCAATAATTTTAACTTCCTACTCACACATGACATGATAATATCTTCAAATCTCATGCCAAGGCCCCCCTTCATGTTGTTGTAATGTCATCACTCACTGTAATATTTTTTGAAAATGATGAAAACTAAGTGATTAAATAGAAAGAATAACTAATAAGTAAATGTTTTAGAAATAGCGAGTAAGATGAAGAAAAATGCATTCTAGAATAATTTGTGAAATTCTGTTTTGATTAATTATAACAAAATGAGACTCAAGTAGGGATCATAAGCTACACTCACCAAGGGCTAACATACACCCTTTGTAACTGGAAAAAAGGATGAAATATGTTATCCAAAAACTAGAATGAAAAATAAAGCATTCTAAATTTAACTCTTACAAAATGGAAAAAAGGATGAAATATGTTATCCAAAAACTGAGAAAAAGGTATCAATGTTGGCTTTTAGGGAGCATTAGCCTTCTGAAGAATGATTTGAGTCTATGTCTTTCTACTGCATGAGAGTTAGTTTATTATATTCATGTGTCTAATATTATTTATGTGAGGAATTTTTTTAATATTTTTCATGTACCTTTGTATGTTTACGTTTGAGTGACTAATGAATAGCAATATTCCATGTTGATGCTCTAACAGGTTAAGTGTATGTTCATTTATGGTCTATCTTAAATGCTTTCATTTTTTTGCAGCTTGTTTTGATCTTTTAATCCCATGGCCTGACATAACATGTTAAAAAAACTAAATTTTTTTCTTCTTCATTTTTTAGTCAAAGAAGGCAAATCCTAGGGAATTGAATCCTTATCTTAAGGATGATGGAAGTGGTTACCCAGAAGAAAGTGATGGAGTTAATGTTGCTGCTAGCAAACTTCTATCATCTTCTCTTGTTGGGGATGGAGGAGCAAGTTGGAGACTTAAAGCATTAAAGCGTGCACAAGAGCAAGCAGCTCGAGAAGGACGAAGCTTTCAAGAGGTTATATGCACTTGCTTTTCAGATATTCTTTATTTCTATTTTTGTAATAGTTTTTCATTATTTATTCTGTTAGCAGGGTAGAGGAAGGACCATTTTGAATTGTTAGCATTTAGGATTGAACATTTGCTTTGTTTGTAGAATGGTAAAACTCTTGTAAGGAGAATTGTCTCCACTTGTTCATATTATTTTACTCTCCAAAAGCAGATTCATTCCCGTACTTTCTATTTACCATTTTGTTCTTTAATTTCGCTTCAATGGTTATTAACACATTCACTATGTGGATATATACAGGTTGTGGGAGAAAGGTGGGGTTCCCTTGGTGAGTTGACTGCATCTGTTGCATCAGAAGCAGCTGCGCCAGCCCGGGCTCATTTACGTGCTATTAAAAGTAGACAAAGAAGGGTAGCTGAAGAAAATTCACCAGATTCTCAAAAGCATATCCAAAGAGATTCTAAAAGGGTAACTTGAGAACAAATAGAAAACTATAGCATATTTATTTTTTAGATGGATTCTATTTTCAATAAATTATTCTAGGTATGAATCTCATTTATGAAGTATATTCCTTTGTGTACTTAACTGAATTTTGCAAATGAAACTTCAACAGGATCGGCACCATGAAATGAAAGCACCTAAAGTGCAAGATTCATTATCTTGGAGAAAGCGCAAAAGCCAGTTTGTGGTAGCTGAGGGAGCTGAGATCGTTGCAGCTGCAGCATCTAGCTTAAATAAATTTGCTAATGACGGTAGCTTTATGCGGGAATTAGTCAGTAAGGTGAGCGATACCTCAGATGTAAGCACACCCAATGAAGGAAATGGAAATGCAGTAGCAGTACAGAATAAGATGAGTGCAAACCAGTTGGCAGCCAAGGCTATGCAACTTCGTTTGAAAGGAAAGAATGACGAAGCTGACAAACTAATGGTAAGACCATAAAACGGGAGAGTGTGCATTATTTTCTAGACTTTGTTTTCCTCTTATATCTTGTCTACAAGAACAACTTTCATGATTATTTTGATTAAGTTGTTCACTTTCCATTATTGCTTTGGTGGGCAGGAAGAAGCGAAGGTTTTGAACTCAAAGAAGGAAAATGAAGATCATGCAGTTAGATCAAGAGCTGAGGGAAGTTCTAGAAGGTATTTTTCTATCTCGAACTCTGTATATGTTTGTTTAAGTCCTTAATCCCACACATATTTTCATGAATTCTAGATGTGAAAACATTGTGGCTAAGATGAATTTCTTGTATTGCATCAAAACATAGTTTGACTTATATTGTCTTTGATTTTTTTTTAAAATATTTCTTTATAAGTTCAGAAACATGTTTTGATGTCTTGGATTGGTAGTATTTGTTTCTACTACCTTATACTTATAATTTCACTTTATTTTAGGTATGCTATGCAGAGGATATCTTCTGAACAGAAGAAAGGCGAGGATGATGCCGATATGAATCTTGCTCGCAATATAATGCAGAACAAACAGTTTAAGGTTCACACTCAAGCAGATGATGAATATGATTTTGAAGATGGTCCAAGCAGAAAGAGTAGAAAGAAGCAAGGAGGCGAAGACCCCAAGAATATCCAAAATAAGATGAATGCAAATCGATTCTTGACCCAGAAAGAACGATGCCTCTTTTGTCTAGAGAATCCGAAACGGCCTATGCATCTTGTTGTGTCCATTGCAAATTTCACATATCTTATGTTGCCACAGTTGCAGCCATTGGTGCATGGTCATTGTTGTATTCTACCCATTCACGTGAGTTTAATTTCTTCTACTATAAGTTTTATAAAGGTTATATGAATTTAAAGTTGGTGAACTGATGTTTTAGTTTGTTTTTTATGTCCCTTTCATTATTTTTATTTTATAGACTCATAATTTTCAACTTTTTCTTATCATCAATATGCAGCATGAATCAGCTACAAGAACTGTGGATGATGATGTGTGGGTAGAAATCCGAAACTTCAAGAAATGCCTTATTATGATGTTTGCAAAGCAAGATAAGGAAGTAGTGTTTCTTGAAACTGTGATGGGATTGGCACAGCAACGGCGCCATTGTATGATTGAGTGCATTCCTTTACCCAAAGATATTGCTAAAGACGCTCCTTTATACTTTAAGAAGGTCAGATATTAAACTTTGTAATATTTTCTAGTTCTGCATTGCCCATATTTGTCTCTCTCTCCAGAATTCATGCTTTTCATTTATGCATATCCTTGAAATGAACTATTAATAGGCTGCACATAATTGTATTCCACATTGTGTTCTAAAAGCCAACATGAAAGTATTATTAGCTTTCCTTTGACACAATATAATTACCAACTTTTTGGGAGTAGCTTGTTAAAGCGATTCTAGTACGATTAAAGTTATCTACTCAGTTTCATAGGATGTCCTTCATGGATGAAAGTTCAAATATATAGTGCAAACTGCAAATAAGAATATGGGCCACAAATTTGATAGTGAAAAGGTGGAGCGTACCCACTTCATTTTTGTTTCCATGGTGTACTTCACACCACTCATTGCATATGGTGGTCTAATGGGAGATTTTTCTGAGCCAAAAATGACACCTGTCGTGTTAAGATATGGATAGTTGAACCTAAAACCAGACACGTCCATCCCAACCCCCAGCCCATATGGAAAACAATTAACCACACCATTTATAAAACTGGATTAGTTTCTAGATCAGCTAAACTTGCTTTATTTTATTTTTGGGTGTAGTTCTGTTCAGTTTATAACCTTGTTTGCACAACCCTTTTGTACATGTTCTTCTGATGAGTGTGCCACATGTGGTTAAAACTTAGTCGAATGCAAACCTGTAGAAATGGTACAGGTTTGTTAAACGGATGTTTCTGCTATCACTCATTTACCTAGTTTTCACCTGAGATTATTATTATTATTACAGTGCTGAGATTATTATTATTACAGTGCTATTAGTGAAAAATCCTTTGCAATGCTTTGTTTTTGAGATTATTATTATTATTGCAGTGCAATTAGTGAAAGATCCTTTGTAATGCTTTGTTGTTGACTGCACTTTTTCTTTGTAATGCTTTGTTGTTCTTGAGATTATTATTATTACAGTGCTATTAGTGAAAGATCCTTCGTAATGCTTTGTCGTTGACTTGAATGCACATTTCTTTCTATTCACTATTCCATTTCTGTTTTTGTTTCTATTGCTTCAAATCATAAACTCACCGTCTGTAAAATGACTTAAATCACAGGCAATTGATGAAGCAGAAGATGAGTGGAGCCAGCATAATGCTAAAAAACTCATTGATACCAGTCAAAAGGGTCTGCGAAACTCAATCCCCAAGGATTTCCCATATTTTCATGTTGAATTTGGCTTAAACAAGGGATTTGTTCATGTCATTGACGACGAAAAGGACTTCAAAAGTAACCTCGGATTGAATGTTCTCAGGGGCATGCTGCATTTACCTGAGGAAGATATGTACAGACGACAAAGGTATGCAGCATTGGACGTACAGAAGCAAGCAGTGGCAAACTTTTCCAAAGAGTGGAAAGAGTTTGACTGGACAACGGAACTTCATTGACATGTTTTTGTAAGTATTTATAGTCTGATAAAAACAAATCTGCATTCTAACAAAAGGAATGAATGGACTAAATGAGTCACTAAGGGTTATTTTTATCTTTTTAATCCAGTATTAATTATTCTATTCTAATTAGCCGTGGATCTTTCGCACATAGAGTGCAGATAAATTAGAAATTACAGTTTTGAATCCGCTTTTATCATATAAGCTGTACCTACATATCAACTATATGCTGTTACATTTTAATTTTAATTTTAATTTATAAAAAGACATTTAATCATTGTAGTGAAAACTTGTTTGGACCAGCCGATTCCCGATCTAACAAGCACTAAAAACTGCGTAGTACCAAAAACGTTTAAGAAACCGTAAAATTGGCGGAAAAACAGACCGATGTGGATAACTTTTTAAAAATTTGGTTTTTAAAAAATTAAGAAAAACTGAGACACAAAACTACACCGTCTAATAGTTTTTTTTATTTTTTAAATTGAGACACAAAACTAATACTATATGCTAGAACAAGTAATAGAAGCAGTGTTTTAAAATCCAACCCGACCCGGCTGGTCGGACCGGTCTGATCGAGAATTGGTGGGTCAGGCGGTTCGATTAAGGGATAAAATCGGAATTACATTTAGACTGGATGAAATTGATGTGAACCGGCCGGATCACCAGTTAAACCAGTGAACCGACGGTTTTTACTGAACCGGCGGGTTTGACTATTTATTTTATTTTTTAGGACTTTTGAAAAAAAAATTAACATAAACGCTTTGCCTCCTCGTTTCCCAAACCTATACATTTGAAATGTTTTCTTTTTTATTCTGTCTTTTCTTTTTCTAATTGAAGTCATATTCTCAATTTTCTCTACCAACAAAAACTCCCACTTGCTGCTGTTATTTGATATTTCTTGTTTGCCGTCAAAAATTTCATCAAAACATTAAAAACAAGTTATTTCTTTTTTATTTCTTTTTTACTTGATCTAATTTGCATTGATGTTTTTTAATATGAATATTATTGTTTCATTTTGTTGATTAATTGATATAGAAAATAAATGATTAAATTTGATCATTTTCTATAAAATTGGGTCTTTTAGTTTAACAAATTGAGATAAAATTTGTATGAATGAAGCAGTTTTATACTTTTATGAATTAACTTATTATAGACGGTTAATGAAGTTGTTGTATATTGGAGATAGAAATTGGGATAGATATATATTACTGTAATAGTCGTATAGAAATTGGATTTAAAACTATGTAATCTAAATTATATAGTAAGACAAAGTTTTTTGTTTTTTATTAATTTAAATTATATAACAAAGAAAAGTTTCAGGATTTTATTAATCTAAAATATATAGCAAAGGCTGAAAAACAAAGTTTCTATTTTTTAATTATATATGGTAATGCATAGTAACGATGCTTGGTAGCCTATATGTAATATACAATAACATATTCATATATTTTGGATTTAGATATGCTACATATTTAATGTTTCTTATAATATTTTTATAAATTCAATAATTTTTGTTTATAATTGTGTTTTGTTAATATTTTTGTAATATAGTTTTGTATTTTTAAATTTTGATTGATATTATATATGACATCACCCGCTGAAGTAATAACTTCGGAAGAAGTTACATCTCAAAATCCAACCCAACTCCAGAGCAGTAGGGGAAAAACTGATATAGCTTGGGGTCATTGTAAACAAATTGAAGAGAAAGGAAAACTTGTTAATTTGTGTATTTACTGTGATAAAATTATTAGAGAAGGGGGAATTAATAGGTTCAAATTCCATTTGGCTGGAATAAAAGGTCAAGTTGAAACATGTAAAAAGGTGCCTCCAGATGTTCAATATCAAATGAAACAAAATCTTGATGAATGTGCAAATAAGAGAAGAAAGACTCAAGCACAAAATTTTGATGTTGATCTTACTACTCAAGAGGGTGGTGTAGTAGAAATGGATGTAGAATAATCAAGATCAAATTCAGTGATTGTGTCTCAAAAGAGAAAGAATACTAGTCGTATTGGTAATTATTTTATGCCTAGAACAACTCCTGGAGCTCAACCTTCTTTAAAAAGTGTGTTACAAAGTAAGGAATTGGTGGAGAAGTGTGATCTAGCTATTGCAAGATGATTCATTGATTCTTCTGTGCCATTCAATGCCGCTAATTCTGCATATTTTCAATCTATGGCTGATGCACTTTGCAGCATGAGTCCGGGGTATAAAGTTCCAACTATGCATAGTCTTCGTGACTATTTGTTAAATAAATGGGTTGAAGATGTGAACAAATTGATAGAGGAGTATCGTGAGATTTGGAAGAAAACTGGTTGTACTCTAATGGCCGATGGATGGACTGATCGAAAAAGAAGAACTCTTATAAACTTTCTAGTTTATTGTCCCAAAGGTACTATTTTTCTAAAATCCGTTGATGCTTCTCATGCTTCAAAAACTGCAGATATGTTGTATAAGCTTTTTAGAGAGGTGGTTTTATTTGTTGGGCCTGAAAATGTAGTTCACATAGTGACAGATAATACTGCAAATTATGTTGCTGCTGGAAGGTTATTAGAAAATGAGTTTCCTACTTTATTTTGGTCTCCTTGTACGGCACATTACATTAACTTGATGTTGCAAGACATGGGAAAATTAGAGGAAGTAAGTGAGACAATGTCACATGCTTCTAATGTTACCAAATATATTTATAACCATTGTTATGCATTGTATTTAATGAGAAAGCAAACAGGTGGAAGAGAAATCCTTCGTCCTGCTCCAACTCGGTTTGCCACTAATTTCATTGCTTTGCAAAGTATTTTGTCTCACAAAAACTCACTAAGAGCCATGGTAACATCTAAAGAATGGACAAGCTCAACATATGCCAAAGAAACAAAGGCAAAACAATTTGTGAATCAAGTTTTAGATTCTGGATTTTGGAGTAAAAATGCTGATATAGTTAAACTCACTGAACCACTTGTACGTGTGTTGCGTATTGTTGATAGTGAAGATAAACCTGCTATGGGCATTCTACACAAATCTATAGTCAAAGCTAGAGAGGATATGGTGAGGAGGTTTCAAAGAAATAAGAAGAAAGTGGATCCTTACTTGGAAATCTTAGATAAACGTTGGGATTCACAGCTCCGCAAAAATCTTCATGTTGTCGGTTATTGGTTGAATCCAACTTGTAGATATAATGAGGTAGAATTTGAAAAACATGCATCCACAACATCAGGACTTTTAGATGTCATTGAAAAGCATGCTAATGGAAATTCTGAACTTCGATTGAAGTTAACAGATGAGATGAGAATATTCAAAGACGGTGAATTAGATTTTGGAAGGAAATTAGCCGTGGATGAACGATGTATTGTGAGGGCAGGTAATTTCATAACTTCTAACTCTTGATATATATTTTATTTTATATTTCAATATGTTTATAAATTTATTTAATCACATGGTATAAACAGATCAATGGTGGGAAACTTATGGCACTTGTACACCAACTTTGCAAAGGTTAGCTATTCGTATTTTAAGCCAAACTTGTAGTGCTTCGGGTTGTGAACTCAATTGGAGTATATTTGAGCATATTCATTCCAAAAAAAGAAATAGATTGGAGCACCAAAAGCTTAATGATTTAGTGTTTATTCGTTACAACTTGAGACTTCAAAATAGGTATTATTATGGTTATTTTTCTCTGATCATTATATTTTTATATTAAATACATATACTTAGATTTAATTCATGTGTGCTTAGGAAAATAAGAAATGGGAGTTATGATCCTATCAATATTGAAACAATTGCCGACCATTCTAGTTGGGTATTAGAGGATTCACCACCTCTCTTAACCAATGAAGAGTTGGAAGCATTGCAGAATGACCTTGCAAATATGACCATCCAACCAATTTCAAGTGATATTGGTATGTTCTAATATGAGCATAATATAGTTTGTGGTTGTGAATCAATTTAATGTCTCATATTTACCATCTCTAAATTTTTTTTGTTAATTATTTTTTAAAATATTGTTATAGATCAAATAGATTTAGATGAGGATGAAGATGGAGATATGAGTAATGCACAAGATACTATTGTTGATACTGTGAATCAAGAAAAAAGCAACACCAGAGAAGATGAAGTTGGTGGAGAAGACAATGAAGTTGAAGATGGATATGAATATCAAGATTATGACAATTTGACTTCATAGACATAAAAAATTGTAGATCGTTGAGTATGGATTTTTGTGACTTATTAATAATACTATAACTTATGAATTGTTAAGTTTCTATCACTTCTTTGAATTTATAATTTGCTACATTAAGTTTCTATCACTTATTTTGATTGTTACTAATACTTTTGTTTATTCTAAATTATTTGAATTTATAATTTTCTATATTATTATAGTTACAAATTTCAGGTAATGAATATATTTTTTATAGAAATCGGGTCAAAATCCATGCGTTTTGACCAATGACCCACTGGTCCAACCAATAACTCAGTGACTCAGTAACTTTACCGAGTCGATCATCGGTTTGGGTTTTAAAACATTGAATAGAAGAAATAAATTACATGTATTGAAATTGAAAAAAAATTGATAGAAAACATATAAGTACTCCATTGTTTGAAATTATATGTATTGTATTTTTTAATTATTAACTAATTAAAATTGGAAGTAACAAGTAAGAGCACTTCCAATTCTAATATGTCCACCGATAGTAGGGCGACACAATTGGAATCGTGAAAAAACAAATCGAATTTGACAGCATTTTAAAATAAAATACAAAAAAAAAATTGTTTACAAGCAAATTCATTTTTGTTAGAATTTAGAGGAGGTATATTTAGAATGAAACATCATTTTACAGGAATTAAAATATACTAGTTCCTTAAAAAAAAGTCCTTTTGATGTTTGTTATTAAATGATATCGATATTAAAAAGTATTGAATAGAAAAAGAACACCGCTAGTCCCAATGATTGTCAGCCCAATGAGAAGAAGTAGAAATTTCAATTCAATCTTGCCAAATAATTTCTA